GTCTCTCTCTCTCTCTCTCTCTCTCTCTCTCTCTCTCTCTCTCTCTCTCTCTCTCTGTCTCTCTCTCTGTCTCTCTCTCTCTGTCTCTCTCTCTCTGTCTCTCTCTCTGTCTCTCTCTCAACATATATATATATATAAAGGAGATTTGTTAGAATGACTTACAGGCAGTGATCTAGCTAATCCAACAATGCTGGCTATGAATGAGACGTCCAAGAGTCCAGAAGTTGCTCAGTCCCCAAGGCTGGATGTCTCAGCAGGTCTTCAGTAGACGCTGGAATCCCAAAGATGAAGGCTGCAAGGCCAGTGAAGGAATGGACTTGCTAGTAAGGCGAGAGCAAGCAGGCAAATAGCAGAAGCTTCCTTCTTTCCTGTCCTTATATAAGCTTCCAGCAGTAGGTGTTGTTATGGTTTTCGTCTCTTTAAGAGACCACACCCACTCCCTCCCCCATCCGCTGAGCCAGGCTGATCTTCAGCTTCCTGCCTGAACTCTCTCTTCAGTCTCCTCTAGGAGAGGCAGCTTTGCTTCTGCCTCTCCCCACTTTTCCGCCCCCCCCCCGTGTCCTGTTCTTCTCCTCCCCCACCTCCTCTAAGTAATAAATATCTAATTCTCTTCTGTACAATGTGTCTGTCCATGTGCCTTCTACCCGCCACCTGCTCACACCCCCGGGCTCGCTGGGACCAGCCTGCTGGGACCAGCCCAGCGCCACATGGCTGGGCCCAGCCCAATGCTGGTGACTCTCCCGGTCAGGGAGCCACTGCTAAGGACCAACAGCCATCTCTGCCTGGGACTGACTAGCCCACCAGCCCGTCTGCCGGCCATGTGTCATGGACCGACAGCCATCTCTGCCTGGGACTAGCTGCTCTGTGGGCCTGCTGCTTGCCACTGCCGGGGATCTTGCAGCATTTTTAACAGGTGTGGCCCAGGTTCAAAATGTGTCTTGACACCTCAAGATCTGAATTAAAGACCCATGTCTTCTTGCCTCATTAGGGTCAAAACCTGTGTCTTCCCACCTCGAAAGTCCAGACTAGAAATGGATTCACTCACTTAAAAAACAAGCAAAAAAATCTCTCACAAGTGTCTTCTCCATATCTGGATTGTAGTTTATTCCAGATGTTGATAAGTTGTCAGTTAAAACTAGCCATCACAGATTCCATTTCTAAAGCTTTAGTTATACTGGGTAGACATGGTTTGACATGCCTGTGTATGCAAGCCAAGGCAGGAAGAACCCTGGCCTAAATAGTGAGTTCAGGGTCAGCCTGAGTTTTAAATATATTTGTCTTGCAAATGTGAGGAATAGAGTTTGGATCCCCAGAACCTGAGTGGCCAGCCTGCAGTTCCAGTCTCAGAAAGATGAAATGGGATCTCCAGAGCAAGCCGGATTGTGTGCTTAGTCATATTGGTGAGCTCTGGGTTTGCTTGAGAGACCCTGTCTCAATGAAGAAGGTGGAAGAGCTATGCAGGATAGTTCCTGACATCCACCTCAGGCCTCCAGAGACAAATGTGCACACACATACACATTCATCCACATAGTTGTGTGCTTACATACATGCAAACACACATATGAACACTACATAAACATAAAAGATAGATAAAAATGAATCATTCCTTTTCTTCATTGTAAGGAGGATTAAACTTTACTTTCGAAAAGGGGGTGGGGATGCTCATATTTCTTCAGGAGCCCTTATGCCCAGCAGCATAGACCAATGGGATGTTGTGTATGTTGAAAAAGATAAATCAAACATTTGACAGATAAGACTGAACTCCCTGGCTTGACTGATGGTAGTGCCCTAACCATGGGACAAGGACCTGGGCTTCAAGTTCAAGGGTCAGAATATGAACATTGGAAATAAAAAGGTCTCTTTTTTTTTCCTGATAAGTCAGGCATGGTGGCTCACACCTTCAATTCTAGCACTCAGGAGGCAGAGGCAGACAGATCATTGTGAGTTCAAGGCTAGCCGGTCTACATTACAAGTTCTAGGCCAGTCAAGGCTGCACAGTCAAACCATGTCTCAAAAAAAAAAAAACCTAAGTTCAAAGATAATTAATTATAAGTGTAAATGAATGTCTGGAAAGGCAGAAGTTTGAGATTATGCTGCTCCTTGACTGAGGCTGATGCATTAAGCCACCTTCAGCAGGTTTATTTTCACCACGGCTAGGATGGCAGTGCGCGCCTATGAGCCCAGGATCTTCGAGGCTGAGTCCAGGGAATCAGGAGCTCAAGGTGATCTTCAGCAACAGTGAATTTGACATCAGCTTGGGATTATAAGAGACCCTGCCTACACACACACACACACACACACACACACACACACACACGTAGAAACATACTGCTTATTTTATTTGACCCTAATAAATACTGCGACTGTACCACTACTAATAAAAGGATATAGCACATTGCTTAATGACTACCTAGAAAAGTGAGAAAACCCTCTCTTACACCTAATCTTTTTTAAAGTTTTGCTCCCTTAAGCAACTGTGCGCACCTCCCTGAGACTTGCCTGACTTTGGAGACTGAGTTAGGAACTTGACTTGTGGGCATCTGTGTAGTAATTGGCACGCTGCATGTCATACAATAAGCATTTAATAAGGGCAAGTTTGATCCCCTGCCCTGGTTCACCTATCCCCGTGAGGGTGCTAGAGAGAAGCTGGCACCTCTCCAGTCACTTACTGGAAGACTTGGGTGTGCAGAGTTATCAAGCTGACAGAGGGATGCTGACCAGGCAGGGCCAGCGTGTTGGCTCTGCACACTGTGTGCAGCCTGCTTGTGACCTCACCACTCTTGGGCTAGAAGGTATTGGCATTCTGCTTTTATAGTAAATCTTTAACCATGAAAGATTCTGAGGCTGTCAGCCACTGATAAATGACAAAGCCTGAGTCACAAATGTCACCTTCCGCCCTCAGCACAGTCTAGGCTCTTGACTCTAGGGTCCTCAGGACTTCAGTGCTTCGGAGGCTTGCAAGGTTTTGAGTTCTATTTTATGTATTATTGTGTGTTTGCACACGAGCTCGTGCTACAGGGGAGGTCAGAGGACAGCTCACAGGAGCAGGTGCTTTTCCCCTATCTGTGGGTCCCAGGCCTCAAGCAGGCTGCCCTCTCACCAGCTCCCTGGGTTTCTTTATTTATTCTGTTTATTCTTTCTAAAGAAAGGTCTGTTCTACCCCAGGTTAGTTCTATATTTGCTATGCTGGTAAAGATGACTTTGAATCTCTGATCGTTCCTCCTTTGCCATTTTCCTTGTGCCCGTTTCATTCTATACTGTACCAACAGTCCAGCCTTGGAAAATTAAAGCATTCAAATGACCTGTGACTGCCTGAGACCAGTGGTGTGGAATTATAAGCTGTGCAGGCTCAGCCTCCTCCTGAAAGAATGAATCTGGGGAGGAGGTGGGAGAAGATCCAATGAGAGCTTCCCTATTGAGGTCAAGGGTCAGGGGAGGTCGACATCCTCACTGTGCATTTATGAGACACAAACACAAGACCCATATGCTGTCTTTAGAATAGATCCCAAGTGTAAAAGAAATGGGGGGACAGCAGGTAAGACCTGAACTTCCTCAGAGCAGTCCTGCAGAGTCCAGAAAGCTGGGCATTCAGTGTTCTAAGGAGCTTTCCTGAGGCTGACTGGTTTGCTCTGCTGACTTTCGGGTAAGGGCAATAGGAAATCCAGTTAATGCTGATAGAAGCTCCTTATTAAAGGATCAGAGGCAGGAATGGGTTTCTATCAGGCGCTGGCTCCTTGCTCTTCCCTCTGGGTATTGACTTTCTGCTAAGGCTGGCTCTTACTTCCTACTAGAAGTACAAAATGACTTAATATTAAGCAAACAATGACCATGTCAGTTCCTGGACTCACCTAGACCTATTCAGAAAGGAATCTCTCTTCTCTCAGCCGTGGGAGAATACTCGATTTGGTAACATCCTTCCCACACTCACCCTCAGAGGACCACTGTGAGTAAGGAAATGTCATCAAGGTAAGGATAGGACAATGCCCAAGTGGATGGAACTCTGCCAGGGTCTCTGGGAGGCATGAGGGTGGCTCTGTCAATCAGCACCAATAGCCCGAGAAACCTGCATGTGTAAGGACGGAGGCAAAATGGATCCCAGAGCAGTGACCACGAGTGTCACTCATGCTGGTGGAGACAGCCACACTGCTCCAGGGTTGCGTGGACAGGAGTGAGAGTCTGCTAAGTAGCACCTTTGTGAGCAGCCAGCCAGAGAGTACAAGGGAACGACGTCTTAGGCTGTGCCACGGTGTGATCATAGTAATGGAGGACTAAATTCCTCTCCCGTCCCATCCGTGGTCCCTTGGCATTCCCTCGTGGAACTTAGACCTCTGGATATAGGCATTCCCTAAAGTATTCAGAGTCTCGTCTCCACCTCTTTCTGGAATGTGGGGAACACAGAGTAGAAAGTAAAGCATAGAAAATGTTACTTTCCAACAGTCTGTGATCTAGGCCTCTGCTGTGTAAATTAGCCTCTGACCTACACAGATATCTCCCGAAGAACCCCGTGTTCATAAGCCGCGAAGGGAGAAGCCCTCATCACACTTGTCTCTTAGAATCTTTTTTGTTTTTGAAACTTTATTGGCATTATTTATTCAAGGTTCAGCTAGCATTGGCCCTGTCCCCGACCTTTGTTTTTATTCTATTTATGAATTTTTTGAAAACCTAATCTTTTGCCCTGGTCTATTTTTTAATTTTATTTTTTTAGATGGGGTAGCCAAAGTTTGCCTCAATATTTGTTATAATAATAGCGAATGACCTTAAACTTTTGATCTTTTGCCTTTACTGCCAGAGTTCTAGGATTCCAGGATTGTACCACAATGGTTACTGTTATGCCATGCTGGGGATTCAATCTAGTACTTTGTACAACTTCAGGTACTCCATTAGTGTAGCTACATCTTAGGGTCTATGTTTGCTTATGGGCTTAATTTTTTAAAGGTTTATTTTACTTTGAATTTTGTGGTGTGTGTGTGCATGTGTGTGTCTCCAGATGCACACAGAGGCCAGAAGAGGGTACCGGATCTCCAGGAGCTGGAGTTAACGGGCAGTTGTGAGTTACCTGATGTGGGTACTGAGAACTGAATTCAGGTTCTCTGGAAGAGCAGGAAGCACTCTTAACTGCTGAGCCATCTCTCAAGCCCTGTTATTAAAAGTATTGTGTGCTTCTGATACTGAACATGTGGTGGGGTGGGAAGACAGCTCAGCAGGTAAGAGTTGCTCCTGTTCTCGCAGAGAACTGAGCTCAGTTCCAGGCAGCCATATCAGGTGCCTCACAACTGGCGACTCCAGCTCCAGGGGACCCGATGCCCTTCTCTGCCCTCCATGGGCAGTGCACTCACATATACAGTCTCCCATGCGTGTACATATATTAGAAATTAAAATCTTGAAAATATATTGTGTTCAGGGCATGACATCTGAGAGCTTTCTGAAAAAATTCTTACTTTTCTTAAATCAAAAAGCTACAGCAAAGTGAATTAACAATTTCAAAAACTTTGTGCAGACTGTCCTTCAGTGTAAGAGTCCGTTTGGATATTCTTGGTTGTCAACTTGAGAATATGTGGAATTAACAAAAGCCCAAAGTGACTGGGTACACCTGTGAGGAAATTTTTCTTAATTAAATCATTTGTAGTCGGAAAGACCTATGTTTAATTCAGCTAATCTGAGATGAGAAGATATACCTTAATCCTGATGTTTTGAGTTGGTAAGACCCACTTTTAATCTGAGCCATACCTCTAGTGGTAGCCTGTATAAAGGACCTGAGAGAAGGCTTCCTCTTTTTTGTCTGTTTACCCCTATTCTCGCTGGTAAGTCCATCCCTTCACTGGCTTTAGAGCTTACTTCTTTGGGATCCCGGTGTGTAGTAAATGTTAGCTGAGCTCTCCAGCATCGTGGATTGAGCAACATCTAGGTTGTTGGACTTTCTTGGTATATAGCCATTGTTGGACGTGCTGAACTACAACCTACCAGCTACTCTAATAAGTGTTGTGTGTGTATGTGTGTGTGTGTGTGTGTGTGTGTGTGTGCATGCACACATGCACACGTGTGTTGTACATGCCTATTCCACCAGTTCTGTTCCTCTAGATCCCTGACTAATACAGAACACAAAAGGAAAGTGTTCCAAAGAAAGGGGAGGAAGCAATGGGGGTGGGGAAGAGGAGGGAGAAATGCCTCCAGTGTAGACCTGCTTTGGGCAGGTTGAGCCTCATGGTCTCTTGTCTCAAGCTTGAGTTTTTTTTTTAAGTGCTTATGCCCTTTATTGTTTTTATTTTCTAGTCTTCAGATCTGAGCTCTGTGGAATACACTGAATATAGATCCCGGCAAAAACAAAAAACAAAAACATCCACCCTTCCCCAGAAGCCCACCTTGAGAGTGAGAGGCCCAGCCATGATCCAACAGCTCAGACACCACTGGAGGAAATTTTGAGGCTGCTTGAAGCTGTGACTACAGCCCAGCCAGCTGTTGGGTTGAAAACTGTCAGTATAGCAACAAGGTTACCAGTTGTGAGCAGCTGTTTCTGTGCACTAGGTAAATTAGAATTCTCTTGTGCAGCAAAATCAGGGGGTGAGAACTGGAAAAAACAACAAGGAATATGGAATAGGCTTTATGAGGTTACATTTTCTCCTCATATTATAAAGCCCATGTGTTGAGAGAATATGGGAAGAAAAAAAGCAACTTATGTCTAAGAGCCAGGGGAAAGAGCAGAAGCATGAAGTGCTGCTCCTTCAGAGGACAGAGCATCTGCAGGAATAGGAATGACCCCAAATGGTGTGTGTGTTGTGGGGGAGGGGAGTGCACGGGGGAGGGTAAGGCCTCATGTCTGAGACATGATGTGTGAGTGAAGAGCCGAGGAGGAAGTGAGTGGTGGACACATGGAGAAGTGTCATGTACTTCAGTGCTGTATGCCACTTTGTGTCATGTGATCCACACTGCTACCCTATGGAGGAGGCATTTCTGTGGTTTCCAGTGTGAATGTCTGTCATTGATCCCCAGAAAGAGTATATCCTTGTCCATATCTCTTGTCCATTTTGGATCTTAGGTTATGGGACGAGATTCAAAATGAGGGTGTCTGATCCCCAAATCCAGTCTCCATCACAGCACTGCACCCCACTCTTTAAGGGGTTTCTGACTCTGAAATTCAGACTCTATCATGGTCTCCAATCTACTCTATAGGTATCAACCATCAGGAGATCGATGAGAAGCGAGAGAGAACAAAACTGTCCAGAAAACCTGTGGTGCCTGCACATAAAACCTGCAGTGGGGGTGTCAGGCAGAAGAATGTGTTCAAGGCCATAGTGAGACTCAGATTCAATCTCAAGGAAATGATTGAAAGACAGCAAAGAGTGCAGAATTCAGTCCTTCAGGCCTAACTCCAAACGGACCAGAGAGCCCTGACCAGGGATGATAAAATAAAGTTGCTGTTAGATGTGTTCTCTGCTTAGATTTTATTTTTAAGTGTGTGTGTGTGTGTGTGTGTGTGTGTGTGTGTGTGTGTGTGTGAGAGAGAGAGAGAGAGAGAGAGAGAGAGAGAGAGAGAGAGAGAGAGAGAGAAACCCAGAAGGTGTCAGAGCTGCTGAGGCTGGGGTCACAGACAGTGTGAACTGCCTAATAATGTTGATTTGCTTCAACTTCTCACAGTGAAATAAAATTGTAATGGCTAAGACAGCTCATAACACAGTCAGCAAGATGACTCAACAGATAAAGGCACTTGCTCTGTAAGCCTCACGATCTGAGTTTGAGTCCTGGAACCTAGAACCTGAAACTCACACAAAGATGAAAGGATAGAATTGACTCCCCTCACCCAGGGTGGCATGTGCATACCCCATCATATACACAAGAGTCCTCTGGAAGGGGTCTGCAGAGATGGCTCAGTGGTTAACAGCACTGACTGATCTTCCAGAGGACCTGGGTTCAATTCCCACATGGCAGCTCACAATTGTCTGTTAATGTCAGTTCCAGGGACATAACACCCATGGAAAAAAAACCCCACTGCATGCACATATACATATATACATATATATGTATATATATGTGTGTGTGTATTTATCTCCCTCTGGAAGAGTAGCAAGTGCTCTTAATAACTGAACCATCTCTCTACCCCATAAGTGCTACCTTAAAAAAATATCATAATCATTATTATACTCAACAATAGCATGTTGAGGTCATTATTAGTATTTATTTCACTGTCACGTGAATATATTTGCTGGAAACTTGATCACCAGTATAACCGTGTTGAGGTGGTGATATGTTTAAGAAGAGGTGGGAGGTGCACAGCTCCTGAGGCTTCCAGCATTGGACAGGGCTGAAGCCTCTCTCCAGAATGAGTTGCTGTGAAGTGAGGCTCACCCATGTGCTAATTCACATGCAGCTGATTCCTTTTATCTTGTATGCTGTAATGCAGCCAGGGCCATTCACCAGGATGTAGGAATTGGACTAGACACGTGAGACAGATGAACCTGTTTGCTTTATAAATTATGCAGCCTGGGGTATTTTGCTGTGGCAACACAGAATGGATTATCATAAGGCTCATGTAATCTAGTCATCTTTCTGGTACAAAAAATGCTTAATACCTAACTCTGAGGTAAGTCAGTAACAGTGAACATTACAGATTTATCCCCATTTTCACTCTTTTCCTTCAATATGAGCTTGTAAAAGTCATTTTCCTTCTCACAAGCTAGAAAGTGTCTTTTGTATAGTGAAGATTCAAACTGCATCTTATTGTGTCCTGGAACACTTCTCAGAAAGAATATGAGATCACTTTTAGTACCATCGATATATTCAGGTGGATCCATTTCCTGTGGAGAAAACACACATTACATAATTTTTGTTTTAGTTTGTTTTTCAAGACAGGGTTTTTCCATCTAACAGTCCTGGTTGTCCGGGAACTCATTTAGATCTGGGTAGCTTCAAACTTACAAAGGTCTGCCTGCCTCTGACTCTCAAGTGTTGAGCAGAAAGGGATGTGCACCATCCAACATTACACTCTTTGTAAGGATATAAGAACTGAGCCTAGAGCGATGGCTTCCTGCTCTAGTCTCTCAGAGTCTGGTATTTGGCTCTTGCATCCACATGGGGAAGCTCACAAATGCCCAAACTCCAGCACCAGGGGACCTGGCTCCCCATTCTGGCCTCCAAAGAAACACACGTACACACAGTTGTGCATACAGAAAATGAAAATTTTTAAAAAATGCCTTTAACAATTTTAATATGTGCAATTTTTTTAGAAGTGTATTATTAAACAGACCTGAAGCAGCTTTACTTTTTTCAGGAGTTAAGAAAAAACTCTCTAAAGGTAGGAGTACTGACTGCTTCTCTTTCATTCCTAACTTCCTATTTTCCTGTCCATTCTGACCTTTTCCACCTCGCACCCTCATCAACACACAGGCCTCCTGGTTCCCCTATGCCCAGACCTTCCTTCTGTTCTCTTCCACCAAGGGAGTCCAGGTATGCTAATGATGAAGAGAAGTTCTAGCAGAGATGACCATCTCATCGGGCTAGTTTCAGTTCTTGTCTTCTTTAGTTGTCCTTAGCTAACACACTGATGGGCTCCCCGCTTTGGCTCAGTAGCTCTAGTTTCTGGATCATCAAGAGAGGTGTGGGAGGTGTCCGAATCTCAGCTCCTTCTTTCTGTGGTCCTGATACTACACTGTGGTGTGATTAGACCAGCAGCTGTTCTCCAGCTGAGTCTTGGGTTCCCCAATAGCCCAGCTGCACAGACTCATCTGTGGCTCCTGACTCTGCTTTCCTGCCAAGCACGACAGTGCATAGTGGTCTCTCCTTTCTGTCCTGAGTTTAGTACAAACACCGATTCTTGTATGTTTTGTCCAGACACCAAGGTTCTAGTCAGGATTAGCTGACTAGAAACTAGTCTCTCTCACCGGGGCTGTTAACATCTGGGAGTGCCTGGTTTTACCTATTCTCACATCTTGTTTTCCTTTTAGGATGTATTAGAAAATATGAGAACGGCCCAAGGTTCTTCCATGTTAATCATAGAAGTGATAGTTTGGAGTTGATTTTGACCACATGGGAGCAAAGATCCCCATGATCCTATGGACTGACCAAGAAATCTCTAGAATTAAAAATGCATTCTATCTTCTTAATATGCATAGAAGATTCTGAAGATGTCCTTTCAATGGAACTAGTTAAATTGACAGCCATAGTTCTTGGATATTTATCAACCAGCTGCATCCACAGAAAGCCTGAGAAAGCTTGGTAAAGACTAGAGTAAAGCATTTCGGTTTTGGGCCGTAGCAGTAAAAAAGCTGAGCTGTTTTAAAATGCAGGCTTTCTGGGCCATCCTGCCAGGGAAAACTCTGACTCTTTCAAGCAGGTGGTCCAGACTATGGAGCTATGGACACAATTTTGCAGCTTGCTTCCTGCCAAGGACCTTTTAACTCCATAGAAGCTTTTGAGTGTTGTTTATGCTTGCTGGCTGGGAACATGAAACACAGTAGAGTTGTGGCAAAAAAAACTTCTCTATATTCCTTAGCAAATTAAAGATCCATGTGGTCAGAAAAAGAGATATACAGTAAAGAGTGATTCAAAGAGTAAGAAAATCTCTAAATGGTTTACAGTGTGTTAAAAATATATACAGGCTAAAGATTAAAGTTCTCAAAAAAAAAGAAAGGAAAAAAAAAAAGAAAGAGAGTAGCCTGGGAGGCAGGGACAGATGGATCTCTGTGAGTTCAAGGACAGCCTGGTTTACAGAGGGAATTCCAGGACAAAGATATACAAAGAACCTGTCTCAAAAAGTAAAAGTAAAAATAAAAGAAATAGAGGTTAAAATAAAGCCATGTAAAGATGGAAAATACACAGAGAATCTTGATTCTGTATGCTATTATGCTCTCTTTAAATTGTTTAAATGCTGAGGTAGGAGCAATAGCTGCTAAAAGATATTTGCTTATAAATGCTGCAGCATTACTCCAAGATAGGTATTTTGAAAATACCTTGACTTCACAGTTGAAGTCAAAAGGTATGTTACTTTGGAGAAGAGATTTTGCTTTTGTTTCCACAGAAAATGAGAGGCTGTGGATTAATCAGAGTTAACAAAAATCCAGTTTGATCAAGGAAGACCACCTGAGAAGTCTCCAGCAGGAATAGATGGCCCAGATGTCTGAGTTCTTCATCCAGAACAGGTTCAAGACTGCTGCCTGAGATGATCAAGACTAACAGGATACTTCAGTTAGGACTTGATCATAACTCTAAATTTTCTTTGGGTCCCCATAAGATTATCAGTGCCCCTAACCAACTGGAAGTAGCCTGGAATACTACGCCCACATTCCCAAAAAATGGACTACGGATATTTTCCTCTTTTTTTTTTTTTTTTTTTAGAGAAGGAAGTGGTGTGGGAGAATTTTCTGTAATCTGTTATAAATAAATGCTGATTGGCCAGGCAGGAAATATATGCAGGAAAACCAGACAGGAAATAGAAATGATGTAAGGAGAACAAGAGAATTCTTGGAAGGAGGAAGTTGATTCCTCCTACTCCTGCCCAGAACACTGAAGCAGCAGGATGTGATCTGCCCCACTGAAAAAAGGTACTGAGCCACATGGCTAACATAGATCAGAAAAATGGGTTAATCAAAATGTGAAAGTTAGCCAGTGAGAGGCTAGAACTAGTGGGCCAAGCAGCTTATAACTTACAGAGATCTTTGTGTGATTTTTTTGGGGGGCTTGCCAGTGTGGGGTACCAGGTGGGACAAAAACCCCAACAATAAGCCGCCCCGTTCATGCTACAGACTGACCAAGAAATCTCTAGAATTAAAAATGCATTCTATCTTCTTAATATGCATAGAAGATTCTGAAGGTGTCCTTTCAATTGAACTAGTTAAATTGACAGCCATAGTTCTTGGATATTTATCAACCTAGTATTGGCCATGACTGATGGTAGAATGAGGTGCTCTCTTAGCATCTGCTTCTGAAGCTATGCTTGGTAAACCACCACTAAGAGACTTTAAGCTTCAGGAGATGATCTAGGACCAAGGTGAGGAATAAGGTCTAAATAAGAAGTGATCCTTGGCCACAAACTCTAGCCATATGACAGGGAAATGAAGTTGGGTATGACCAGAACCTAGTCTATAGCAACGATGGATAATGTCTGCATTAGTGGGAGCTTCTGAGCATGAGACCTGGTACAAGACATACACCTGTAATCCTAGCATCTGGGGAATATAAATGGAAGGGTTAAAAGTTCCAGGTCACCCTCAACTATATACTGAGTTTGAATACAAACATTCAGCTGTCTCTTCCTCTCTGACAGACTCAGAAACAAAATGAGACCACTGAGTATCATCACACTAGATTGAAGGGGTGGACAGCTCCCCATACTCATCCACTTCAGTGGTTGTGTCTGCTCTTGGGCTCTAGACAAAAGGTTGGCCTGAGGATATCTGACGTTTATAATTTGTCCATTAATATGACTAAAATCAAAGTGAAACTGAATCTTACCTTAAAGGAAATGCCTTTGTCCTTACAAGAGAGAGTAGACATTTTTTCATGCTTCACAGAGAGGGTTACAGCCTTTCCTCTTGTTTTATAATCTTTATATTTATTTATTATCAGTCTGGTCTGGGGATTAGCTGAAATAAGTATTAATAAATGAGACCATTAATTGGAATACTTACCCTCCCACAAACTGGCATCTATAGAAATTTAACCAAAGAATAGGCCAGTCACAACCATGCAGTGAAGGTTTGGCCTGACAGCCAACAGACCTGAAGCTCAGCTGGCCACACTCCCCTTAAATCACACTTACAGGGTGTTATAAATCATAGGCGGGCAACATGAGTGTGTTAAAGTATTTGGAGTGTGTTAAAGATATTCTGATATTTTTCTTGATTTCTGATATTTCTCTTGAGTGTGTTAAAGATATCACAAACCTTGCCAGGTGTGGATGTAGACACTTAATAAT